TAAATTTCGATTACCAATGGAAATAATGTGTGCAAAACGAAATGCCACAACAACACAAACGAAATATTTGATGTTAACATCGATGTAACTCTCTCAAAAACAATATAACCTGGCAAATTAATTTGCTTATCATTCCTCTCTCAATCAAATCTATCAAATGACATAAATTTCATGAGAACTGCAGCAAAGCTCTACAAACATGAACCATTACGGTTTCCAAATGCAAAATTTTCAGGATGCTGTAACTGACGGCTTGGTGAGCCCAGAAGAAGCAGTATATGCTCTCGGATAGATGTCATAAGGATACTAAAGACTATGTAGAATTCATAAACAAACGATCGATCATTATCAAGATTCAGATATCCGAATTTCATTAAACCTGTCAGTTCAGAAAACTTTGGATTTATGTTCACACTTTCGTAAATCAATTGAAGTGTCACAGAAGACTTCTCGCATGCCGATATCAACGAAAGAACTATTATTGATTTATTCCAAACCTGAACCAGTACAAAACTTAACAATTAGCTATTTCTTGATGACGACATTTTACAACTACTTGAAGGTTTCGTCCAGGAATATATGCACTTTTCAGAAATCAGAAGTCATTATCCATAAGATGGACATCAAGAAATCACTATAATGAAAAAGCCGACTGTAAAGTAGTTCTCAGTTGACTGATAGAGATACAATACGTTAAACAAGCACTGCCGAGAAACTGAAATAGATTCAGGAAATCAGCTATTTCTCTGAAAAGAAGCAAAATCGCACGACAAAATATCTACTTTTCTGGAAGTAGAGGATCTGAGGAATCTCACGGTGTAGAGGGAATACCATGTTACTGGGCAAACTTGAAAAGACCGATTGTTTGAAAATGATGACCCTCATACTGCCAGGCTAGTGTATGTGTTGATCAATATAGATACAATGTATAGAAAAAAGTGATGTTTAGTAACTGGAATGCCATCAGAAAATCAGCTATAACTCTGCTGATAGAGTTGGATTTTGCAGATGGCATGAGATATATTCACATATCAGAAGTAATGTTGTGCAGTAAGAATATAAGTTGTGCAGATTTCATCAACTGGAAGAGTGAGGCTGCACTTGAGCTGAATATTTTGCTTGAAATGTGTTGTATGCGAGTCATATAATGGGAGTGCATTGTGACTGTGATATATTTCATAATGCAAACTCATCCATCGAACAAAACCTTGTTACATGAATGCTACAATCTCTTACAATCTTACACGAATGAATACGTTAAGAGACAATTTCATACAGTTCAACTCCGAATCAATACAGACAAACTGTGAAGTTGAAAGTTACTTCCAGCACCGTTTGCTTCTTCAATAAGTTATTGAAATATTGCTGATGTTTGTTTATTTTTTGTTTTAGTGCTGGATATTGAGCTCTGAGTTCATATTGTACGCGTATTGAATGTTCGTCGATGTTTGTTTGGATATTAATGTTATGTTTAGAGATTATGATTGAGTATTCGTTAATCCATCGTTTTGATCTGATTAATCTGATCAAGAAACTTGCATCATCTTATTTACCTTACTCAGTAGTAAATGGTTGTAGGGATTAATACCTTTGCTATTTACTTACAGGAGATTAATAGCTTGATATTCACCTACTTAATAGACTTAGTCGAGGAAATTATATTTTGTATTTCGCTTCCATGTCCGTTAGCCAGATTGTTTTCGATTCTTTCTTTAAGATCGACAAGATGGTCAAGTCCGTAGGAAAAAACGAATTGGATCGCTGACTCTAGCAAAAAGATCGTTCACATTACGGGATTGGCTGATTTTGTTGTTTTCGGATAGAGGTAACCCAGAATATTGTCTCATACCTATCTTGAAATTGATTTGCTTTTTCAATTGATCGTTTTTGGGCATAATTCATGTTTTGATTACGGTCAGGATTGATTTTCTTATTCGTTCACAATTATTTGAGCTATCTTTCGGTCTGATTAATCTATAAAATAATGTTCATTTGAGTTAATTTATTTGTTAGATACTAATTATTCCCTTAGGTCAGTGGTTCTCATAGGAGGTGAAGTTACCCATTTTGGGTAATTTGGAGGTAGAGGGTAACGGAGGGGTCGGGAAATTCCGTGCAGTTTTATGCTATGATACAATGATATTGTGATGGTGTTGTTTAACTCGTGTATGTAAATGCGGTTAGTTGATGGCAACACTTTTCATTCTTCTATTTTCTGAGTTCCATTAGTCCTTCCAGGCCTAACAGGGTTTTCATTCTTTTCCTTGCTGTTGCAATCGCTCTCATAACTTTTATCACCAAAACTGCTCTCTTCTGCTAATTTCTCATTCATTTCACTCAACAATTAAAGTCAAATTCTCATTCTATCAAATACACTCTATAATTGTTCATTTGACTGTCGAACGTTGTCGAGCAAGTCAATTCGATCGCTGTATTGTTGATTTCGGTTGTCAACACTCGTCAACGTGTCCAGTAAATACTATGTGCTACAGAATAAGAAACTGGTTCGAACTGTGAAGTGAAATGAGACGAAGCGAATGAGAAAAACTCATGAAGAGAACGAGATTCGCGTGTAATAGCTATGAGAGTGAATACAACACGTCTGAAAAGAATGAGAATTCACCAAGATCAGTTTGAAGTGAGCATGTCATAGACAATAGCTTTTCATGCAATCATGATCGATTGCAATACTGATTGTGAGGAACACAACGGTCTGAAAGGAAGTCCAACCATGATGAATATCGTCATGAACGTGCTAACAAGATCTGGACGTAACCTGTGCGATTCCCGTATTCAATGGTAATGTTAAGGAAAGCAATCCAAAATATCCGGGGAATTTACATTACCTAGAACGATTCATGAAATATGATTCCAAGAAGGCTCATTGCCACCGCATGCAAATTAAATTGAGAGCAATAAAATATCAGAAGTTATAATTAAACTCGGTGAGAAATTTCCGGACCGGTTTCCGTTTGCTCCTGACGTTATACTTATAAATAGTAAGTTTTTGCATCAGGGGGGAAGGGGTTAGCGGTGACCTGCTAGATCGTCAAAACGGGTAATGGAGCGCCCGAACGTGAGAACCACTGTCTTAGGTGCTACACGATAACCTATGATCAATTTATAAATGTGGTTAAAATGATTACATTAGGTAACTAAATATATAGGCAAAATGGAACATTGGTAGGTATTTAATTAGTGTCATTTGGTAATTTTTGCATCTGATTTAAGGGTGTTTGCAATGTACTGCTGGTCAAGTACGATCGTTGTTTCGTTACTGCTGCATTTGCTTGGAATAATGTTGATGCTCACCGAAGGAAGTGATGAGGAATACAGGCTACTGCAGGACCTAAGGAAGAACTATGACCCCCAAGAAAGACCGATACGAGACCATCATGATCCGATCGTCGTGAATTTGCGAGTTATTTTGCAGCAATTGGTGGATGTGGTATGATTTCAGGGGATTTGAACCTGGAATCCTTTAAAGGATCTCTTCTCCTTTTATTGCTCTCAAGATTACAACTAAATGTGTGAAATATCGAACGTACTATCTTCGTACCCCAACTGATATCCTGATATCCTTCTTGGATATATCATGCCAAGGCACTGATATCCTGGCACTGAAATCACGTATTTCCAGGATTATTCTCAAGCGCATTGTTTGCTTTGAGGTCCTCCTTTGTTTAAATTCTGAGGGAAAACTTAAGTTATCAACTGAAGAAGCAGATCACACACAGATCAAAGTGTTGTGACGTTTTTGAGATGGTCAATATTGGCATTCTAATTGACATTTCAATCCCTATCAAACTAGAGCTGATTTGCTATGATACACTGAAAAGAACTGCAAATTTCAGGATGAAAAGAACCAAATGATAACATTGATGATATGGTTACAGCAGGTTTGTTTATGACAGTATTTTCTTGGCTTGAGTAAACTGTATTCATATTCCTATCAATCATTTTATGTATATCGAGCTAATATTCGTCCAACATACCAACCTCATATGTGGTATTTGAAAGAGAAACGTAAACTCGAAATCAGTTGCAGTCGATGATCAACTAAATAAATACCAATCTCACAGAGTTCAACTTGTCATAGAGTTGAATTCGTCAAAATGCTTTCTAAGTGGAACAGTGCAGAAACTATCAAAATTTGTTTCATGTTCATTTCTACATTGATATATCGCAATTGAGGTCGTAGACTCATTTATAATGATGAAGAAGCACGGAAAATTCAATCCATCAATCAACTATAAATATTTTTGAATTGTTGATCAATTGGTTAATAAAATAAACGTTCAGTTGCTTTAACCATTGCTGACAATGAACCAAAACCAGTTTAACTGTAAGAGGACTGGAAAATGTGAACAGTGTAGAGTGACATAGCACACAGCCAATTTTTGCTGAAATAATCCAGATTTTCGTGTATATTTTTAAATAAATATATGGAAGGAAATGAAAGAAAATGAGATTCACTTGCTACAATGAAATGGGCTCCGCTTTATAGACCTGGACCGACTATAAGATGAAATGGGATCCGGAAGAATACGGTGGAATCACGAATGTCAGATTTCCATCTGCAGCCGGCGGACTATGGAAACCAGATGTATTGCTGTTCAATAGGTACGGTACTGTACGGCCGTAGTAGACATGTGCACAATTGAAAACTTTATTCGGTGATTTGGAATGCAGAGTATTCTATACTCAGTTGAACATATCTCAGAGATATGCTACTATCACGATTTCTATGCGAATTTGTGGAATCTAAACATGAAATCTGTAACTTTAACGTTAATTTCAAAAGAATTTGATCTCAAAATGTTCAAATCTTAGAAAATTGACAACTCAGACAATGAATGGTTCTTGAAGAAGCTCTTGTCTGATACGAATTTCAGTGCAGACGATAAGTTCGATGCAAGCTATCCAGTGAATATTGTTGTGAAACACACTGGCGACATCCTTTTCGCACCACCGGGAATTGTGAAGAGCTCTTGCGAAATCGACATCACATGGTTTCCGTTTGACGAACAAATTTGTTCTCTGAAGGTGCGTGATAGAAGAGAGTATCATGTTCTGAGATCATGGAAAAGTAATATTATCATTGATAAATGATGTATTATACATCTAATCTTATTGAAACTACTCACTGCTTTAAAAAGTCGGTAGTTATTTCTCAACGATCACGAGTTTACATGAAAAAATGTATTTGCCTTGTCCATAAATTCCGTAATTCAAAATTTAAAGATTCAAAAGATTTCTATAGAACGTTTTTAAGCGACAATGATGTTCTCGTGGAATTCTCATTCTTTATTCTCGCTTTAATTGTATGCTGCAAAACT